AAGGGTTCGTGGCAACACCCACGATCCAAACACTGGCATCTCATTGAATACATCATTATCAGAGAAAGAGATCGTCGAGATGTCCTCATCCCCTGTGCCATGCATGGCTCAGACCACTGTGACTATGATCACCGACTTGTCAGATCCAAGCTCTCACTTCACATCGCCCCAAAACGGCGAAGGCAACAAGCCTTCAGAAGAGGTTTTAATACTAAGCGTCTGTAGAATCCAGCGGTAGCACATGCTTTCAGAGAGCAGCTCGAACATGGGCTGATAAACAACCCAACAGTAAACAACGTGAATCCCAGTGCCCAATGGGATACTCTTAATACTGTTATGACAACGACCAACAGAGAGACCCTCTGCCTGATCAAAAGAATACACCAGGACTGGTTTGATGAAAATGACCCGGCAATCAAAGTACTCATCGATGATAAACGTGCTGCTTTTTCTGACTGGTAGAACAACCCTCAGTCTCGAACCAAAGCTGATACCTTTCGCAGGAAGAAAGCGGCAGCCCAGCGGGAACTTCACAATCTAAAGAACGACTGGCTTAAAAATAAAGCATGTGAAGGACAAAAACTTGCAGATCAGCATCAGATCATAATAAATAATTAACGGTTTATTAAGAAAACTGGCAGCCCGAAGGCTGAAAATATACAATGAACAGAGATGATAAGTTGCATATAGTGGAATCATGGAATGGGTTACTTGATTGACAAAAGCTTTCAATACAGAAACTCTAAAACATAGTCAACATATAGATTAACTTTAGATCTGGCACTGTGGGAGCTGGTCTGTAGACATTCTTGTGACCTGATGTCGGCGCCAACAAAGTCCTTCCCACTGTCTTGATGGCCGTTGTACCTGACTGCTAAGCCGCTACTTCACTGTGTGTATGTGTGTGTGTGTGTGTGTGTGTTTAGGGATTTTGAAGGACGTGTGCATTGATGTACAGGAGCATAAATACTCTTATACACACACACACTTTTCAGCAGATTGTTGCTAGGCGGAATGTCAACAGTTTCTTTGGCCGCTAAAATGATTGGTGCCTAGAAAACGGAAAGTGGAAGCACACTTTGAACACGGGAAGGCGGACGAGATTGAAGTACGTGCAAGTGTTTGACCCTTTCCTGAAAAACTTTCGACCAGTATTGTGTGTGTGTGTGTATGTGTGTGTGTGTGTGTGTAATGCTGAAAAGAACCCCGGTAGTTTCCACCTGGTGGGCGTCATTGGTAGGAAGTCTGTCGCCGGGAACTATTGTTGGTGTTGCTGAATAAAACAAAATTGGCATTGTTGGGGGCGGCGCCGTTTGCTTGTAAATGTTTCTGGCACAAGTGAAACAACCGTCGCCAGGTGAGTGTTTTACCCCGGGTTCGACTCTACCTGTTTCACTGATGGTTTCTCCTATAACTGGCTTTGTGTGTTTGTGGGGAGGGGGGGGGGTGAATGAGGTGTGTGTGTGTGTGTGTGTGTGTGTGTGTGAGTTGTGTGAGTGTGTGTGAATGAGTGAGTAGGTGTGTGTGTGTGTGTGAATGAGTGAGTGACTGTGTGCGTTAATTAGTGAATGAATACGTAAGTGAGTGTGTGTGTGTGTGTGTGTGTGTTTGTAAATGAGTGAAGTGGGTGAGTTAGGAAATGAGTGTGTGTGTGTGAATGAGTGAAGTGAGTGAGTAAGGAAGTGTGTGTGAATGAGTGAAGTTGTGAGTGAGTGAAGCAATGAAAAGATGAGTAAAATGAGTAATTAAGTGAGAGAGTGAGTGAGTGAGAGAGATGACGGAAATGAGAAGTCTTTTGTACTGTTGTTATAAATATCACAACTGTGGGAATTAACTCTGTACACTACCGGGTCTTATATCTATGACGTACAAGGATACCTCATCCTGTGTATATCTTAGGACCACTTAGTGTATTATTTGTATTAGTTGTGTGTGATGATGAATGCTTGATAAGGTTTAAGGTTTGTATCGTGTATATTGATAATGGATATATAATAAGCCAATAAATATTGTTACATGACTGTCGCGGTCATCACACACACACACACACACACACACACACACACACACACAACATATAGAGTGTATTGCCTTCTAAGAAATAGATTGAACTAACACATAATTTTTCTTTTTACAGGTAACTACGTGGAAATTAAGCACTTGAGCCAGGTGTTCCCAGATACACACATCCGCTTGGTGAGTGTTTGATGCGCCGTGAACTTGTGGACCTCACACGACAGCTTGTTTTTGTGTCACACTTGTTGTATTCAGAAGACTGTCGGTAGTGTTGATATGGTGTGTGTGTGTGTGTGTGTGTGTGTGTGTGTGTGTGTGTGTGTGTGTGTGTGTGTGTGTGTGTGTGTGTGTGTGTGTGTGTGTGTGTGTGTGTGTGTGTGTTGCTGCTCGTGTGACATCAATGGCTCACGTATACAGTATAATGTTATATACACTTTAGTGAGCTGACAGGTTAGCTGATTACCCAGGTACTAATTATTGTTCTCAGGTGTGGCACAATTCTGAGTTCAAGTCGTGTGATTTCATGAGAATAATATTGGACTAAATTTGGACCACTGTGTTTCCATTGTACGTTAAAACATATAAGTGTATGCTGGAGACCTGAGTATAGGACTCACTCACTCACTCACTCATTCACTCACTTACTCATTGAAAATTACTGTATAGTGTTCACAAATAATAGGTGTTATGATGGTTCTATGTTGTTATGGTAAAGGTTGTAATGTGTTGTAATGGTACAGTGATAATAATGGTGACCAAAAAGCAATTAAACAACTTTAGTCGTAAATTTAACAACAGATGATAATGATTCAGATTAATACTCACAGTGAACTGATGCGAAACATAGTGAATCACCGTCATACACCGGGAGTCACAATATTTACTGTATCGGTTAAGATAGTGTGTAAGTCAAGGATAAGATTGTGTGTAAGTCGAGGATAAGATAGTGTGTAAGTCGAGGTTAAGATAGTGTGTAAGTCAAGTATAAAATAGTGTGTAAGTCAGGTATAAGATAGTGTGTAAATCAAGGATAAGATAGTGTGTAAGTCAAGGATAAGATAGTGTGTAAGTCGAGGATAAGATAGTGTGTAAGTCAACGATAAAATAGTGTGTAAGTCGAGGATAAGATAGTGTATAAGTCGAGGATAAGATAGTGTGTAAGTCAAGGATAAAATAGTGTGTAAGTCAAGTATAAGATAATGTGTAAGTCAAGGATAAGATAGTGTGTAAGTCAAGGATAAGATAGTGTGTAAATCGAGGTTAAGATAGTGTGTAAGTCAAGGATAAGATAGTGTATAAGTCGAGGATAAGATAGTGTATAAGTCAAGGATAAGATAGTGTGTAAGTTAAGGATAAGATAGTGTGTAAGTCGAGGATAAGATAGTTTGTAAGTCAAGGATAAGATAGTGTGTAAGTCAAGGATAAGATAGTGTGTAAGTCAAGGATAAGATAGTGTGTAAGTCAAGGATAAGATAGTGAGTAAGTCGAGGATAAGATAGTGTGTAAGTCAAGGATAAGATAGTGAGTAAGTCGAGGATAAGATAATGTGTAAGTCAAGGATAAGATAGTGTGTAAGTCGAGGATAAGATAGTGTGTAAGTCGAGGATAAGATAGTGTGTAAGTCGAGGATAAGATAGTGTGTAAGTCAACGATAAAATAGTGTGTAAGTCGAGGATAAGATAGTGTGTAAGTCAACGATAAAATAGTGTGTAAGTCGAGGATAAGATAGTGTGTAAGTCAAGGATAAAATAGTGTGTAAGTCAAGTATAAGATAATGTGTAAGTCAAGGATAAGATAGTGTGTAAGTCAAGGATAATATAGTGTATAAGTCGAGGATAAGATAGTGTATAAGTCAAGGATAAGATAGTGTGTAAGTTAAGGATAAGATAGTGTGTAAGTCGAGGATAAGATAGTTTGTAAGTCAAGGATAAGATAGTGTGTAAGTCAAGGATAAGATAGTTTGTAAGTCAAGGATAAGATAGTGAGTAAGTCGAGGATAAGATAGTGTGTAAGTCAAGGATAAGATAGTGAGTAAGTCGAGGATAAGATAGTGTGTAAGTCAAGGATAAGATAGTGTGTAAGTCGAGGATAAGATAGTGTGTAAGTCAAGGATAAGATAGTGTGTAAGTCAAGGATAAGATAGTCTTTTCTTTTGCCACTTCCCTGTCATTTCTTACATTTACATGACCTTCCCTTATATATCCTTCTCTGCCTTTACCGCGGCTGAGTGAAAATAAAACCCGTCTTGCGTCCTAAAGATCGTTGGTTCAATCCCCAGGGTACTTATCTGTCTACTTAGGTCTATACGTTACTGATGGGGAAGTGAAGGGTTTTAATAATAAAATCAATATACGAAGGAGGAATAAGGTGTGTATAGTGTGATAAACGAGGAAATATATAGATGAATAAATATTTCTCATTGCGTTTATATGATAAAGCAACAGATATAATTAATTGATTGATATGTACTAATTAAATGTTGATTGATATTTCCCGTCTCTGGTTTCTCCCATATCACAAAGTAGAGGAGAAGGAAGGGGAGGAGGAGGAGGAGGAGGAGGAAGAGGAGGAGGAGAAGGAGGAAAAGGAAGAGGAAGAGGAGAGGGGAGAGAAAGAAGAGGAGGAGGAAGAAATCGAGGAAGAGGAGGAGATGACGTAGTTAATGAAAGATAAACCACACAGAAAATAACAATATATTGCATAATTATATATCTCAGACGATGCTGAAATAATATTTAAAAAAAATATTATACCCTGACTCTTGGCTAGCTAATTCATCTCGACAACATAACCCTGATTTGGAGTCTTGAAAACTCTATAACACAACCCTCGTTATTGTAAACTGATAGAGAACAGCTCATTCAGATAAAAGCATTATTCTGGTCTTAATTGTCTTTGTAATGCGAACTGGAATTATGTAAATGGTGAGTCTTTTGTTATATGATATTTATGGTTAATGGAGTTTAGTGTATGATTCAAAGGTCTTAGAGTGAGGTGTTCATGTGTGTGTAGTGTGGGACGTGTAGTGTGGGACGTGTAGTGTGGGACGTGTGTGACGTGTACTGAGGTCGCGTAGTGGGACGTGTAGTGTGGGTAGTGGGACGTGTAGGGACGTGTAGTGTGGACGTAGTGGACGTAGTGTGGGGGCGGCACTGAGGACGTAGGACGTAGGGACGTAGTGTGCGGCATCGAGGACGTGTAGTGGGACGTAGGGACGTAGGGACGGTGTGGGGACGTGGTGTGGGGGCGGTATTGAGGACGTAGGGACGTAGTGGGGACGTAGTGGGGACGTAGGGACGTAGGGACGTAGGTGACGTGTAGTGACGGTAGTGGAACGTAGTGGGACGTAGCGGACGTAGCGGACGTAGGGGACGTGTGGGACGTGGTGACGTAGTGGGGACGTAGGACGTAGTGTGACGTAGTGTGGGACGTAGGGCAGGGGCGAGGACGTAGTGGACGTAGGGGACGTAGTGTGGGACGTAGTGGACGTGTACTGAGGACGTACTGGGGACGTGTACTGAGGACGTGTAGGGCGTGTAGTGGGCGGGGGCGAAGTGGACGTGTAGTGGGGACGTAGTGGGACGGTGGACGTAGTGGGGACGTAGTGGACGTACTGAGGGACGTACTGAGGACGTGGTGAGGACGCGTAGTGACGTAGTGAGCGACGTGTAGTGTGGGACGTAGTGGACGTAGTGTGGGACGGTACTGAGGACGTACTGAGGACGTGTAGTGAGGGACGCGTAGTGTGGGACGTAGTGAGCGACGTAGTGACGTAGTGTGGACGTAGTGGACGTCTGAGGACGTGTACTGAGGACGTGTAGAGGGACGCGTAGTAGGGACGTAGAGCGACGTGTAGTGGGACGTAGTGTGGAACGTGTAGTGTGGACGTGTAGTGAGGACGTGTACTGAGGGACGTAGTGAGGACGCGTGGTATGGTGAGGACGTGTAGTGTGGACGTGTAGAGCGACGTGGGACGTAGTGGAACGTAGTGGGGACGTGTACTGAGGACGTGTACTGAGGACGTGTAGTGGACGTAGTGTGGGACGTAGTGTGGAACGTGTAGTGGGATGGTGGAACGTAGTGTGGAACATGTGGTGGACGTAAGTGTGGGACGGCGGGGACATGTAGGGGACGTAGTGGACGTAGTGTGACGTAGTGGACGTGGTGGGACGTAGTGGGGACGTAGTGTGGACGTGTAGTGTGGAACGTAGTGTGGAACATGTGTGACGATAGTGGATGTGGGCGGGGACATGTAGTGTGGGACGTGTAGTGGGGACGTAGTGGACGTAGTGTGGACGTAAGTGTGACGTATACTGAGGACGTGTATGGGGACGGGGGACATGTATTGTGGGAACTGCAATGTGGGACATGTAGTGGGGACGTGGTGGGACGTAGTGTGGAACGCAGTGTGGGAAACATGTGGTGTGGGGACGTATAGTGGGACGAAGGGACATGTAGTGGACGTAGTGGACGTGGGACGTAGGGACGAAGGTGGGGACGTATACTGAGGACGTGTAATGACGTGAAGTGTGGGACATGTATTGTGGGAACTGCAATGTGGGCATGGTGGGGACGTGATGTGGACGTAGTGTGGACGTGTGTGGGAACATGGTGTGGACGTATAGTGTGGGACGAAGTGGGGACATGTAGTGGGACGTGGTGTGGGACGTAGTGTGGGACGTAGTGTGACGAAGTGGGACGGTACGAGGACGTAATGTGACGAAGTGGGGACATGTATTGTGAACTGCAATGGGACATGTAGTGTGGGGACGAAGTGTGGACATGTAGTGTGGACGTACTGAGGACGTAGTGTGACATGTATTGTGGGAATGCAAGGGATATGTAGTGGGACGTATGTGGACGTGTAGGGACGTATTGTGAACGTAGGGACATGTATTGTGGGAACTGCAATGTGGGACATGTAGTGTGGGACGTGAAGTGTGGGACGTAGTGACGTGTAGGGACGTGTTTTCACTCTTTTTTCCTTATCTGTCTTTATCTTTTAAGTATGTGTGTTTGTGTGTGTGTGTGTGTGTGTGTGTGTGTATGTCTGCATATATACGTATGACCCCCGCGCCAACAAAAATTCACATTTCATAGATATATCGCCACGCTACACGCACTCTCCTTCCTTCCCACTTCTCTTCCTCTCATCTTACTCTTCTTTTCCCTTTCCTTTCACCTCCTTTCCGTCACCCATCCCTCCTTCAATTTCACCTCTTCTGTCTTGACTCATCTCCCCCGTACCCTCACCCTTCAAGAGATATTCCCGGACACTCTCGTACCTCTAACTGAGACAAGTTTTAGTCCATTGTGGTAGTGTTATTAAAGCTCTATTTGTGTGTGTGTGTGTGTGTGTGTGTGTGTGTGTGTGTGTGTGTGTGTGGAAGATGCATGCACATATTTAATGCCGTGTTGTCCACATCATCTCAACTCAGCTTAACAAATTTAATGCCTAAGTTATGCTTTTCTTTTTCATCCCTTGAATCTGTGTGTGTGTGTGTGTGTGTGTGTGTGTGTGTGTGTGTGTGTGTGTGTGTGTGTTAAGTAAAGGCTTTTCACTTACATCAGTATAGACATAAAGTGTTCATGCACTTACGTATACAAAAATGTTCACGTATAAAGGCTTGCTGACGTCCTTAAGTGTGTAAGTGTTCAGGGACATAACATAAGTGTATAAATTGCTGGCGTCCCTAAGTATACTTAAAACAATTGCATAATTGATTCAAGGAAAAAACGTTCCCGTACTTGTCCTTACTCATTACTTACAGTATGTGGAAATTTGTTCACGTACGCCCAGCAAGTACACGAACACGGACACACATCGCTCCCTGAGCCTTACTGGACAGGGTTTTTTTTTTTAAAGTTTGCCTTAAATGTTACGTCCAAACTGGAAAATATCTTAAGGGAAGTTTACCACGTGTGATAATGCTGAGGTATGTAGTGTCTTACATGGGGTCAGATGGGGTGTGGGGTCTGAGGTCATTTGGGAGTCTGGGGTATAGCCTCTGGGATCAGTTGGTAGGTTATGGTAGTGGTGGGTTGTGATGGTGGTGGGTTATGGTAGTGGTAGGTTGTTACAGTGGGTCATATATCCAGCATGGATGGTGGTGGATGTCTGTGGCTGGAGAGATAAATGAACAAATATGGGTTGGCCAACATACGGTGAACCTGTAGTGTCACAGGTAAGCCTGGAGTGTCACAGATGAGCCTGGAGTGTCACAGGTGAACCTGGAGTGTCACGGGGTGAACCTAGAGTGTCACTTGTGAGCCTGGAGTGTCACAGGTGAACCTGGAGTGTCACAGATGAACCTGGAGTGTCACAGATGAACCTAGAGTGTCACTTGTGAGCCTGGAGTGTCACAGGTGAACCTGGGTGTCACAGATGAACATGAGGTGTCACAGGTGAACCTGGAGTATCACAGATGAGCCTGGAGTGTCACAGATGAGCCTGGAGTGTCACAGATGAACCTGGAGTGTCACAGATGAACCTGGAGTGTCACAGATGAGCCTGGAGTGTCACAGGTGAACCTGGAGTGTCACAGGTGAACCTGAGGTGTCACTTGTGAGCCTGGAGTGTCACAGATGAGTTTCGTCTTTCTGGTCGTTTTGTTTACATTAAAAGTTTTGTTGGGTTACACCAGATTATTAAACTACTGAGGAAGTTGTAAGTTGTGTGGAGGGATTAGGAAAGAGTTTGCCTACACACGCACACACACGCACACACACACACACACACACACACACACACACACACATATATATATATATATATATATATATATATATATATATATATATATATATATATATATATATATATATATATTATATATATATATATATATATATATATATATATATATATATATATATATATATATATATATATATATATATATATTAGTGAGAGTCAAAACTTTTTTTTTTTTTCTCATTAATAAGTGCGACAAGTTTCATCTATTCTGCACCACCGGGTCATGTCTTCTAACTCTTTCATTCCATATTTTTTTTTTCCACTGGCAGAGCAGGAACACAAAAATGGCCTGGACGTATTATCTTAATTGTCTGGGATTTAAATTCGGTTTGTGAGGTGGTGGAGAGTGTCGGGGTGATACTTTTTATGGGTGGTGGTTTGTTGGGGAAAAGAGGTAGGTTATTGGGGGAGGAGGATGGTAATGTGGGGAAGGAGGTGCTTGTGGTGGGGGTTGAAGTGGTGGTGGGGTGGTAGTTGTGGTGGGGAGGTGGATAGTAGCGTGGGGGGAAGGGTGCTTGTGGTGGGATTGTAGTTGTGGTGGGGAAAAGGGTGCTTGTGGTGGTGGTAGTTGTTATGGTGGGGGGAAAAGGTGTTTGTGGTGGTGGTAGTTGTTATGGTGGGGGGAAAAGGTGCTTGTGGTGGTGGTAGTTATTGTGGGGAGGTGGATGGTGGTGTGTGTGGGATGAGGTGCTTGTGGTGGTGGTGATAATTATGGTGGGGAAGTGGATGCCAGTGTGGACTAGGGGGAGAGGTGCTGGTGGTTGGGGGGGCGGGGAGGTGGACGGTAATGTACACGAAGTTTATCTGTGAGTATATGTCTGTGTGCCTGTTTGTACGTGCTCATTCCTCTGTGTAAATTCTGCCTACACGCGTCAGTGCTCTGTGTCTATTTTCGTGTAAGTATCTGTGTGAGTATCTGAATTAATACTATATGAGGTAGCTGTATGAGTGTCTGTATGAGTGTCTGTATGAGTGTCTGTATGAGTGTCTGTATGAGTGTCTGTATGAGTGTCTGTATGAGTGTCTGTATGAGTGTCTGTATGAGTGTCTGTATGAGTGTCTGTATGAGTGTCTGTATGAGTACTGTGTGCGTAACTGTATGAGTATTTGTATTATCTGTATGCTGTTGTAAATCATTTAACACCTCTGACACCGAGCACTCGTGCCAACTCATGACTGACATTGTTGTCAGAGTGCCAACATCACACAAATCCACGGTGCCACATACTCCCCCCTTTACCACCCTATGACACGGTGCCACATACCCCACCACCATCCTGTGACACAGTGCCACATGCCCCCACCACCACCTATGACACGCAACCACATACCCCCACCACCATCCTATGACACGGTGCCACATGCCCCCACCACCACCCTATGACACGGTGCCACATACCCCACCACCATCCTGTGACACAGTGCCACATACCCCCACCACCACCCTATGACACGGTGCCACATACCCCCATCACCACCCTATGACACAGTGCCACATGCCCCCACCACCATCCTATGACACGGTGCCACATACCCCCACCACCCTATGACACAGTGCCACATGCCCCCACCACCACCCTAAGGACACGCAACCACATACCCCACCAATTATCCTATGACATGGTGCCACATACCCCACCACCCTATACCCTATGACACATACTCCCATCACCACACCCTATGACACAGTGCCACATGCCCCTACCACCACCCCATGACACGCACTCCACATACTCCCCACCACCACCCTATGACACAGTGCCACATACCCCCCCACCACCACCCCATGACACAGTGCCACATGCCCCCACCACCACCCTATGACGCAGCTGGTCATATGTTAACAAGAGTAGTTTTTTTTTTCATTTGAAGGGATGAAAATAATGACGGTGATCAGAGAAGCGTTAGAGTAAGGAGGGGGTGAACTTACCGTACCTATGATAGAGTAAGGAGGAGGTAACTTATTCGCTATGATAGAGTAGGGGAGGAGGTAACTTATTCGCTATGATAGAGTAGGGGAGGAGGTGACCTAGAGTCGCTATGATAGAGTAGGGGAGGAGGTGACCTAGAGTCGCTATGATAGAGTAGGGGAGGAGGTGACCTAGAGTCGCTATGATAGAGTAGGGGAGGAGGTGATAAAGTAACATTAGAGTAGGGAACCTCAGGACCGACTTGCTGTTTGTTTACAGATTATTAACAATCTTCAGTGACCCGTGAAACAGACTTAGGATAGGACCTTTTGCCTTTCAGTTGGCCACTGAACGAGGGTGGTGTTCACAATCGTTACATCCGGTTAAGACGAAAATCTCTTACATCACGTCCAAAATATCCGGCCAAGACGAAAATCTCTTACATCACGTCCAAAATATCCGGCCAAGATTAAGATTTCTTACATCACGTCCAATATAACCGGCCAAGACGAAGATCTCTTACTTATCGTCCAGTATATCCGGCCGGAAATAAGGTGCTCGATATTGAATAATTGGGGATCTATCCGACTTTATTAGGATTGGTGTCATTTGGAATTGGTACTCATTACGATTGGTACTTATTACGATTGGTACTTATTACGATTGGTACTTATTACGATTGGTACTTATTACGATTGGTACTTATTACGATTGGTACGCATTAAGATTGGTACTTATTACTATGTGTACTCATTACGATTGGTACTTATTACGATTGGTACGCATTAAGATTGGTACTCATTACTATGTGTACTCATTACGATTGGTACTTATTACTATGTGTACTCATTAAGATTGGTACTCATTACTATGTGTACTCATTACGATTGGTACTTATTAGGATCGGTGTTTTGGGTACTAATGCCAAGTATGATTGGTGCAATTAAAATTGATGCCTATTAGGACTAGAACCCATTAGGACTAGAACCCATTGAAATTAGGACCTATTAGGCTCCTACGTCTTGTGTAATTCGGTCTTAAATAAGAGATTACGTCAAGGAAAAGAAGAGCCAAGATAGAGCCTGAATGCATCTGAGACTCTACCGTACCTGGCTGA